ATAATCGTGCGGAGTGTACAGCAGCCGCGTTTTCGGTATGCACACGTTGAACACGACGATGACGAGAAGGGTGTACAGCCAGCGTAGTTGTGTCGGAACATCATCACCGATAACAAATGACGAATCACAAAAATTGGCGGCGGTGGCGGTTAAATACAACAACGACCGCGATCGCGCGTATACAGTGTGTACACCGATTAGTATATGTATTAGTGTACAAACGAAAACTTCTGGCGGCGTTCATAAGTATATATATTATACACAGCTCTCGTGTGCACAGACTCGTTAATTAATTACTCGCAGGAAAATAGCGGTCGATCGATACCGCTCGCGCGCGCGGTTTTCGATGCGCTGGTGTTTGTGTGCGCGCGTATCGCGAGTTATATATAGGCACCGGGCCAGGGAGAAGTTTAAATACCCATCTCCCATCCCCTTGGCCGTTCCTACCCGCCGAAACCCATTGCTGCTATATTTCTCTCGCTCGCGGAACGTGAATCCCCGTTTGGAACACACGTTCGCATCACGAACATTGGTCCGTACCGTACCGTGGGCGGTGTTCGTACACGGGTTTGCGCTAGTCCAACTTAATGTACGGTTGTCAGTACGGTTTATGTGTTTGTATAAATATTAGTGGCCGCAATGCGTATACGAGACACGGCGACGTTTTTCCGGTTACGTACCTACTGGTGTACGTGCGCGCACATTTGCGTGTACGACCACGTAAAAGAAGTCCGTCCGCGAACGCGTGCTCGTGCGTGGGGTGTTGTGCGTACACGAGGGTAGTTGTGTTGTTTGTGTACGTATCCCTGTACGATATTATGTTACGTACTTTGTGTAAATACATATTGGTGGCACGAAGGTAGTCTAGCAAGTCTCGTTTCTCATTTATTTTTTAAGTAGGCGAGTGGGTATTACGGATGGTAAAGGTTCTAGACCTTTGCGCTAAAATATTTATAGCCCCGAGGAGTTCAATTAAATAACGTCGGAGGCGATATTTTTCCCGTGAAACCGAATTCTCCACTCGTTTTCTATAATAGTATTGTCTTTGTAACGACGGGATTTAATCACCAGAAAACCAGGTACAGCGAAACCGTACAAGATTCAATTTCCATTTTGCTCTTTCAGTGCTTCATGTTACGTTTTTTTTTTTTATTTTGATAGAACGCCCTATACCCTGAGTTATTGAATGGACGTAAATAATATTATTTTACCCGTGTTGCGCTGATTCCAAGACGCATAGTGAAAACAGTTATGATTTGAAAAAAATATGCATAAAAAAAATTTAATTGGCAAAAAAGATGCGAATGCAGAAACGTATTATTATGGGTGCTATTTTTTACCACACAACGACCGTACATCACAACCTCAGTATTATAACGACTTAGCAGTGTAGGTATAAAAACGAGGATTATGGATGGTACCTACGCATTATAATAATCGTGTGTGTGTATGCATGTTTACAGTACTCGCGACCAATTTACGATAACATTACACCAAAAACGATTTATCAACTGCAGACAGTCGTACACCGGTAATAACAATGTCATAATACTACCTATACATGCAGTATCATAGTCAGTTATAATATATATGTACTCGTATATTTTTTGTCGTTAGTGAGATAAATGCATTTCATGAGTGCAACTGTACATAATACATAGCTCTATTTTCGAGTGTGCTGAAATCCATATTCACTCCTTTCGTTCATCATTTTATGCGAAACAAACACATGTGATATTAGTTTTTCTTTTAGCATTTATCTATTTTTATGTATACACGAGCATCATAAAAAATTAAAATAAACTCATACGTACGATTTTATAATGCGAAAATCGACAACGCTAAAATGTTGAATATCAAATATGACATACATATATTATAAGACCATTGAACAAATTTTTAATGGATTGCAAATTGTAGATATATACGCGATACTATTGGGTATGTAAACAAGTACACTGTACGTCAATACGAGTATTATATTTTTAAATCTAAATGTCAATCCTTTTAGTTCGCCCAAGTGAAAAGTGGGAGGGACAAAAAAAAGGAAATTTAATTTCTGTGACGCAGTGTTGAATACTTGTTTCACTTCGTTGAGCCCGGTGCTGCAAGATGTATTGTTTTATTGTTGTATATTTTTAATTTCAACGCGATAAGTAACGTATTCGAAAAAAGTGCTAATTAGCTAATGTAAAACCTAGGTACTTTTTCCTGAAAAAATGTTGCAGATAAATGTTAAAAGTGTAATAATACTCGTGTTTCAATCAACAGAACTGATTTTATAGAAATAAAATGGAAAATGAAAAAATAATTAATCAATAAACCTGTTTTGAGATTTTCAAAAAATGTTCGGAAAAATGTGAACCTATACGTTACAACAATACTTATAATTGTGCTATTGATAAACACTACGCTTAATAGGCTGTTTACCAGTAGCATCTCGATCCGGTAACAAACACTGATGAGTTGGAATAAATAGTGTACGATGGATACGGTGGTCGACGTGTACGGGGGCTCCGAGCTACGACGGTGCGCTCGTGCTTCGGGTGTCCGCCGGGGCGTTAAATCCGAACGAGACGGTTTTACCCTTTTGCGAACTACGCGTATAACACACGTGCGTGGACACGGTGGGTACGTGCACGGATAGACGTCCCGGTTTATGTACGTAATATGCCGGCGCACGTAATGTATATACATCGTGAGGGTATAAATTTCCGAATAAGTTTACCCGGACGAAGTGGTATAACACAAGGCAGGGCGTGAGATTCTCGGAATTACTTCGACCACCGCATTATATTACAACCGCCCGGCCCCGTAACAGGTAGGTAGGTAGGTAGGTGCCTCTCTGCAGCAGGCAGGAGCGTGTGTACCAGCCGTCCCGAAACGCGCAACGAATGTCGGGCGCCGCGCGCGTAAAGTTTCAGACGGAACCCCAATAACTTACTGCGTCTTGATGGAAACCAATCACAACCGTCTTTTACCGAGTTACACACACCGCTCAAAGGTCGACATACCCGTGCACGCTTTCCTAAGTACAGCGTGCGCGTCGGTACGAGATAATATCGTTATGATTCGGCGGAAAATGTGTATTGTACACGGGCAACTAGACGAAGTTACTAAACGACCATTTTATAGAACTTTAAGATCTGACAGGCCGGAGTAAAAAAAGTAGCAAAAAAAAAAAAAAGTGATCATTAAAATCGACAGTTAGCATTAATTCGATATAATTTATTTTTACGACTGAACCGATAAAATAACCGCTGCCGAGGTCTCGTTTCCCACCTCTTCGTTTAACATAAACCGATAACGGTATGAAACGGTGCCGGGCTCCGGTCCCAAACGGTTAAGAATCGTTGCCGCTGGTAGACGCTCTATAAACGCTGCACCGTTATCGAAGCGGTCACGGTAGGAACAACTGCGTGCTAAGTACGGCTCGACGTGTGCAGGGTGTGACAAAGCAAGAACCAATTTTCGTCGGGCCGCGACACGTTCTCTCTCCGGACGGGATATAGATTAGAGTTTAATATCTACATTTTACGACCGATGTGATAGAATGTAGAACCGATAAATGTTAAAATGTTATGAATTAATTTGAAAATGTAGCACGGGCCGGATAAAAGAAGTACACGGACCGCCAGTTGCCCATCCTTGTTATAATGGAGAGTGTATGGTAGAAGGGCGCGCATCAAAATCGTCGATGTTTATAACAATTTATACAACAATATACCAATGCATGACGGTAACATTAATAATAATAATAAATGTATGGGAAACAGCGGTATTGTATGGGCATTGCAAAATCGTAAAACACAATATACAAATAACACAATTATGCGATCAACTGTAATATTGTTTTGTAAATTGCAAAGTATATTTAATTATCAGGAGGGATTCAGAGGGTGTTATAACATTACGTATAGTACGTATTATTTCTTGGATAAACATTTGCATCGTTGAAATTATAATTATCAAAGAGCTTGGAACCTATACATTACGACCGTCGAAAATATACGTTTGAAACTGTTGCGAGGTTTTGTTTTATAATTTACGGTTACTTACTTTGTTTTCAAACATCGACTCCGAGAATCCGTGTCGTGTTGTCGACCCGCGTCCCTAGCCATTTAGAGGTTTTCAGTATCGTTATATATATTATAATTGTATACGACGCGTATACTTACTTCAAATTTATTCAACCTTCGTCCGCGCGCAGAAATAACGACGTGCTGTTGTGCTGCAATCGAAATTCGATCCCATCGATTCACTTGTCTCGTACATAATTTATTTATTTTTATTTCCCTTATACGGAGTTAAAAATAACGTTGTTCGCGATGAATTAACACTACTCTATTGCGCCATTATTCGTATAATTATTTATATATATAAACGTACACAGACATTGCTGCAGGTACCGGCTATAATACCATATATATAATGACGAGGATGTGCGCGACGATAAATAGAACGTTATTCTATAGAGATCGGAACCGTCGTCGTTAAAATAATCGCAATAATAATGATTACTGTCGTGGCCGTTTTACCGCCGTTGCGCCGGAAAGGAAATAATCCGCCATACATCGTCGATGTTCCCGATTGGGCGGCGGATGCAGAAGGCCCGGTCGTAACGAAACGGATATCCTTTGAACGGCCCTTAAACGACGCGCAATACTAATTTAACGATTTATCTCGATCCCGTCCTCCGTCACATATTCGTGTACTGGACAGCCCCGCATCGGCTACACAGCCGACTCGTTAACACAGAACTCGCACCACCGATAATAATAGCAATAATAATAGTCATTCGCTGCTGCAATTGTATAATAGCAGTATACTCGTATTCCATTATTCCATTACCGCGGCACTCGCTGGACGGTCGCTGCAATAATTTAGTACCACGAAAACCGCGATCCGTGCGTAAACGCGCGTTGTATCATTAACTTTGCGCCGCGTTGTGTTTCGTCGTGAACGTTTGAGATTAATAATTATTTGTTTTTGCGCAACAGGCGAACAGCAGAGCGACGTAAACGCACGAATCGGACAATCGGCATTTTTACCCTGCGAACTGGAACCGAACAACGTGACCATAGGGTTCGAGATCACGACCCAGTGCGGAATAGTGCACTCGGTGAAGTGGTACCGGGGAGCCAGCAGGATATTCCTGTACTCCGGCGGCCCTCGGACGACGCAGCCGCACAGAGAAGGTTACACCGACAGATACGACAGGTACGTAGAAAAAAAATCATCGGCAACCGTCAGCACGGGCAAGTGTGTGACGAAACAGTAGAAAAATCGTGGATTCGATCAAAACTTATTAAACCGTTGTTGTACAATAAAACGTTGGAAAAACGAAATCAGAGCACCGATACGGCGGCGAGACGTGCACGCACGTGAACACGACGCGTACAATCGTATTACGTATCGCGCGTATTATTACAGCGTCCCGCAGTGCTGCGCGTGGGCGAAATTTGATTTCGATCGGCCGGCCGCGATCCCCTCGTGACTGCAAAACGGCAGTTGTCTGCGATTGCGACGGTTTTTTTTTTTTTTTTACAACTCTTACGTTACACCGCCATGGGGCATCATCACCTGCTGCGCAGCCGGCTATCGTAATCTTCGGTAATCGCGCACGATCTGCCCCCGTGTAATAGTCGGTCATAAGCCTCGAGGCAACCGGGTAAATCGTTGTTCTCGCTCCCGAAAACGAATAAACAGAAAAACCAACAGATTTAACGCGCCGGCGGTGGATTTGTCAGTCATGAGCCGACGCGGCATTTAATCACGAGCACGTCCCTCCCCCATCCCCTCCCCCCGCGCAATCGTATCAGTCGTCGGCTATCACGCGTGTACTTAGGCTCCGGGATCGTTCATCGCCGCCGCAGTCCGTATCGGCGACAACCAAACTAATGTGCAAACAATCGTCGACAATTCGCCCGTTGTGTTTCCATCATGTCGTCAAGCGAGTTTTTCGGATTCTATCCCACCCCCGTTTGCCGTACGTTGATTCATACGGATATTTATTTATTCATAACAGACCGATGGGTTCAACTTGACGGTCGTAACAACCGTCGTGTTCCACTCGGAATTTTTATGCGCTCGTACTAAATGTTGCTGCAGACAGTAGTAGTATTTCGGTACTTTATTGTTATTATTTATTTATTTTTTTCAGTTTTGTTGAACAAAACTTTTATTTTTACTCGAAAAGCACGTCTCTGCTATCGTTTTAACTATAGTTCTAACATTTAAGTTCAGACAGTTATTTACATATACACTTACTGTTTGAGTTAAGACTAAATCTTCAAATAAAACATTACGAAGTTATATTGATAATGCAATTTTCACTTTTTAATTTTAGGAATTACTTAATTTGAAACTCGATTAGCATTATCATACTCGTATTATATTTAACTATGGTTATGCAATTTTAAAAGTCTGAAATGTTGATTTCTTTTGATTCCCGTTGAAAAATAAAATTACAATATTTTTTTTTTATTTCACCACTACAATCATTTTTGATTTATTTTGATAAATCTTTAAATTTAGGTGTAGAAATTACATTTTAGTATCCAAATGTTTATAAATTAAACTTATGTCTAATGATGTAATTTTCAATTTTAAATGTTTAAAAAATTGATTCACTTAATTGTTTACTAATGAATATTTAAAAAATTTAAAACAATGCATATTAAGGAATTCAATTTACAACCGTTTTTTTAATATATTGATTTATACATTTTTATAATTCATAATTATGATAAGGTGATGAGTATCCTTTTTAACGGGAATCTAATGCGTGGTTCTATAAATGCTGTTGTGAGATTTAAATTATATTACAGTTAAATTATTTAATATAGTAAGAAAACATTTATTTAAATGACCGACTGTTTGATTATTTCCAGTGAAAATATTTCTAATATCATTTTTTGAAGTCTAAGGATTTAGTAATTTTTTGTTTAATTTTTGTAGGTGTACTAACCATATAATTATGCATTAATGAACAATGCGAATAATGCACGTTCTTCTATACTCACGATAAATGTTTATAACATGGCTAAATTCCGTAATAGAATTTATCTACAAATTACTTTTCCTTTTTATGAAACGATTTTGAAATAACTTTTAAACCCAACTCACGTAAGCTATAATTAGCAGCCGTAAATGTTATACAGATAATTTAATTCAATACATAGTGTATATATAACATACTATTTTTAAACATAAAATGTTCTATCAAATTCTAATTTTTTATAAAGCCTTTTCATTAACTTTTTCAACAGTGTTTTATTAGAAGTAATGAAGAGAGTAATCAAAGTCAGTGAAATTGTTGAAAACTGCAAATCACCGACGTTTTATCTCTTTTCATTACATGCTTTGCTGTAGTCTCTTTTGAGTATAAAAGACTCCACCCTTTGTGCTTTAATCAGATTAATACGTATAATATATTACGTAATATAACGTTGAAATATAAATGTTTAAGAGTGCTACAAGAACTTTTCAATTAATTTGTCGAAAATACTAAGTTCATTATTTTCAATAATTTTTAAAATTATTTTAAATATAATATTTTGAAAAACATATTTATTTTACTTTGCTGTTGTTTGATTTTGTTATTTTTAATATAACAAGTTTTCAATGATGTTAATTGTACCTACTTCCAAACATCATAAAGCATTAAAATCATAACTATATGATATAATTTTAATGGTAACCTGACATAGATTCTACTAATATTTGAATTTCATCTGTGAGTTTTGTATACTTGTACCTATATGAAAATATTCAATATAATTTAGGTAGGTAAATATTTTTAATGAATATAAAAATAGAAGTACTACAAAACACTGCATGACATACAGTATGTTTTGCCTTAAAATTAGATAATGGATAAAAAACTAATATAATACTATAATATGTATAACTCATGAACTACGTACAATCTTTTTTTTTTTTTTTACTAATGTACACTCTAGTATGCAAATTTCCTATGTTGCCCCATATTAACGCGTATAAAACAATACAAGTGCTACAAGTGTTATGTTTTTTTTCAAAATATGTGTGATGTAATTGAAATAAAATAATGTTGCAAACCTAATATGTTCACATCGCAGATCATTATTATTTCGTAGCTACAATTAATGACATAAATGCATTCTTAAAACAAAAAAAAACTTTCTTGTTGTATTCTAAATTCTTATGGACTACTATTTGTAAATTGAATATTATTCATGCTGAATAAAATGTACCTACATTAAATTAATGAAATAATATTGCCTATCTTTCTTTTTATAATTTATTATTTAAGAATACAACAAATAATGGTTGATTTTATATTTATATTTTTAACTACATTACAAACTATATTGCCATGTTTTGTTTGTTAACATTAGTGAGACAGAGAAAACTATTGATTAATAATAAAGTTATAATTTTTTGTTGAAAATTATTTATAATTATTATAATGTTAATATTTTTTCAAAATGTTTTTCATTGCATATAAGATATTGAGAAAATAGGTTCTTAAAAATGGTATGATCAAAATATTATCTTTCATTTATCATTCTTTCTGAATCTTTAGTTCTTATAAGCTTTTAAAATATTATAAAAATCTTATTAAAACTTTTATTCGACATATTAATAATTTAAAACCATTAATATGTATCTAGCTACAAAACACTGATATAAAGAATTCAAAATATCCACGTGACATATCATTTTAATGGAATTTATCATTTAAATTAGTTTGATTTTTATAACAAAGAGTTCAAAATTTCACAAAAACGTAAACATTTTAATAAAATGAATATATATATATATTTGATATTGATATTAAATATATGTCGATATTGAAGATGGTTTACCGAAATCGTACAACCATTTTTTAAGTTCTTCGTATAATTTAATATAATAATAACGCAGTATATATTACCAATAGTAGTAACAATAAAATGGTTCCTAAGCGAAATAGGAACGTATCGGTTTTATAATGGCGTGTTTTTTATTAGTGTACCCATTTATTTTGATAGCGGGTGTACTCTGAGCATTGTATGGTGATTGTGATCTATTTATTGATAGGAATTTTCGTCAAATTTATATTTTTCTGGTTCAACTTTGTCGATTTTTGGTAATTTAAAAATTACCTCTCAAAAACTGCACGTAAAATACAAAAAAAAGGTGACATCTATGACAAAACACATCGAATAAAATATAAAATATGTCATTTTGTTCTGATTAAAAAAATAAAGAGTATAAATAATACATTTTTATAGCAGTGATATTTCACTGGTACAATATCTGAGGCAAATAATTTAGCATTATTAAAATTGAATGTTTTTATTTTTAATAAGATTTCAAAATTAAATTAATTTTTAGGACAAAGTTAAATTTTAATTAAATTTAATGCATGACTTACAGTCTAAATATTATTATCAATTGGGAAATGAATAATTGTAATTAATTTATTGTTTAACATTATTTTTTATTTTTGTGTCCTTAAAAAGAAAATTATTCAGTTATTTCAAATATTATATATAAATAGTAAGTAAATTAAATTTGTTGAGAGTATTTCATTTCGTAATTGCATCATGTTATAGTTAAGGTCTGTATTAATGTTATGAAAATGTGCTAATCGACATATAATGTAACTAATTATGAATAAAATGGAGTTTTTACTATATCAACATATAATATATTTTACGTTTATGATAAAAGGAAATAAAAGCCAATATTTTCTAAAAATATTAAAGTTATTGTATTCCTTGTTTTTAATGAAAAAACTTACTTTTATTTTAGCAATTGAAATGAGTATATAATAGTTTATTGTGTACGTGTAAAGTATGTAATATCTTTAAAAAAACAAAAAAATAATAATGTCCTAAGTATAAAAGAAAAGGTAATATTAGTTAATGATACATTGATTAATATATGACTCTCTTACAAAATATACTAAAATATAATCTTATTAAATAAACAAAACAAAATAAAACATCAATCATCATAATATTAAAATACTATTAGTTATACATCAATTTCATATTTTTTTTTTATTATATAAATATGAAGAAGCTCTCCATTTCGTATTATAAAATATGTTGTCTTCTATTAATGTTTAACTCTATATAATAACAATAATTATTTTATTTAACTAATGGAACATATATTATTGTCATTTAAATATAAATTTATATATAAAAAAAATATTAGAAAATACTGCATTGTACTTTTGTATACTATAGATGGTGGTTATTTATGGTCTTACAGATTCAAATAATTATGCTTTCAAATAATTTTCCTTAATAAGTTTATTGCAAATTATTTCACGCTCAGAACCAGTTAATAATAACTGTAATTTTTAACAAATAATAATAAAAATGTTTTAAACGGTGTGTGTAGATTTTTATAATAAAATATTCAATACTGCACGAACCTAAAAGCTAAAATACTATTTAATTTAATAATATTTTTATAAGAATGTTCATAATTAATTACTTATTACATCGATAGTTATTATTCATGAATTTAAATATTTATATTTATAATTTAAATTCTACGATACTAAAACTTGGTTGTACATTAAAGTTATATATATATTTTAAAAATTGGAAAATATATCTTGAAATATCGGTTAACTATTAATATACGTATTACACTTATAAATTATTTTATTTGAAGTACTCAGACCTATAATAAAGTATTGGCACGGCTTATCCATTTTTCATTATAAATTAATATTTACATGTTGTGTTGTATCATATATCTTATTTACTTCTTATTTATCTGAACTAAACGTTATTAGCTGTGATTAATTGAATACATTGATCAGTTATAATTAATAATAATTTATTTTTGTAGAGCATATTGGAGCACGGAACCAAATTCGACGTTGGGTTATTTGGTAATGGATAATGTAACAGCCCTCGACGAGGCTGTATATAAATGTGAAATTACATATACCAAAGTGCACGAAGGTTGCAATATCGTTCAGTTCATCAATCTTACGACTTACAGTAAGTTTTTAAACATACGATATAAAATCTGTATACAATTATGATATATTTCATATAAATATTTACACAATGACATAATGTAAATCTTTATTCTAAGCTGGTTATAAATTATGCTGTAATTTATAAAAATGTATTGCCTATTGTGTTTATGTAGTTTAATTTTTCTTTTTTTTTTCAATTAAATTGAATTATTATAAAGGTATAAAAATGCAAATATAGAATAAGCTATAGTTTTTAGATTATATATTATAAATGTTTAAAAGAAATTATTTAAACTTTAAAGTACACGCATACATAGGCGTGTGCACAGGGGAAGCAAGGTGTGCTCTTTCTGACCCTGGATGATTTGAATATATTTGTCAGTGGCGGATCCAAGGGGGGGGGGTAATAGGGCAAATACCCCTCCCTTGAGCTTATTATCCTAAAAAATTCGAGAATTTTAGAAATTTCTAGTTATATTTAGCGTTCAGCAGGCCTCACACGATCAGTAATACTGACAGAATTTCAGATAGTGGCAGTATTATTGATCGTGTGAGGTAAGTACTGATGTACTGTCAGTATGAAAAAATAATACTGATGACTGATGAAAAAATCCTTTTGGTATACCATATCTATAAAATTTGTGTTGTTTTTTTATGTGTATAATTGTTGTCATTAATATTAGTTTTAAAAAATAAATTCAAATTAATAATATTAAAAAGTATGTTATTAAGTATGAATAGTATCTGTTGGATAAATTTTAATTACCCCCCCCCCCTTGATAAATTTCTGGATCCGCCCCTGATATTTGTAAGGGCCGAACTGGTCCAAGCTGGGCCGCCACACCGGTAATGCTTAATACAAAATAAGTTAGTTATCCAAAAAGTGTATTGTTACCAAGCTAATCTTTTCTGTTTTTGAACTTTAAATAGGCTTAATTATATAAATAATAAATAATAAATATATAATATATAATACATATAATATATATATTATATAATAATAATATAATTATAATATAATATATATATATATATAATATATAATATATAATAAATATATAATATATAGCTTAATTTGAGCTTAAAAATGTTAACTTAATACTCATGTATGGGCCAGTATAAATATTCGCTGCCTCCGATTTGAAACTCTGCGCACGTCTATGCACGCATGTACAAACTATTTTTAAGATCATTTTAATCAATCAAAATGTATTAATTTTGAAATATGTATAACAAATAAGCGCATACAGTATATAATTATTAATAAATTTAGACAAATTTTATAATAATTATGATTAATTTAATATTGGAAAACGATTATGGGTAAATAAACTTATTGTTAAAAATAAATATACGAAGAAACGTCTACGATTTCTCATTTCGATAGTTTATTGCAAACGAGTTCTACTTTAATTCAGTATTTCATCAATATTCACACAATTTATATCTATATATATTTTCTTATTTAGACATTCTCCTTTGAGCGACAATCAACAAATAATATAAACCCACTGACTTTGATTCTCAAAAATATATTAAGAAATTATTTTGTTTATTTTGATCATAAAAACGTATTTACTTTATATAAAGTTATCTATACCACTTAATACTGTTTATAGTAACACTTAGATTCATATTTTTATCGACTATAATATTTCGATTTATGTTTATGAGCTCGGAAATAAATTGGATGTTTATGGATTGATGAAATTGTATGGGCTATTTTTTGTATGGCGTATGAACATGTTTTTAAGACAAGCTTTCCATTCATCTATTTGTGAAACGTAAAACCTGTTTAAATAACAGCTTTAAAAAATGGTAGCAGATTTACTGTATCATGTTTTTTACTATGAAATATCACTAACAGAATCAAAACACATCAGGTTCCTGTATTTATTTATTTTTTTCATATTTTCTTGTCTGTTGTTTGCTGTCACTTTCATCACTTTCAGTGTATCGTGTTTAAGCGGTTGCATAGTCTATACGCTATTACTTCATTTCTCTCTCTATATATAAATATGCATGAAAATAACTGATATTTGATCTTGATAATTTTGTTACTTCTGGTGTAAGTATCAGAACATTTCTAATAATATAATATATATATATATATATATATATATATATAAATATTTATTAATTCATTAAAAATATGGATAGTAATCCTATTAAGGGCAAAATAAGTTATAACTATTCATATGTCGAACTACATAATTTATTTTAAATTTTACCTAAATATAAAATAATCGATGATAAAATATATTAATAGAATATGATCGGTTCTATTTTTTTCAATTTAAAAATAAGACGACGAATCATGAATAGATAAATATTTTAATTTAAATAAAGGATTAGATTAAATAATATTTTTATTTGAATTTTTAAATACATTCAAGATTTTTTTAATTATTATAAAAATTACATTTGACTATTGAATTTCACGATATTTTAAGTTAAAATTGTGATTTATTGTTAAAAGTTATGATTTTTAACATGTTTAACTAATTACATTTTATATGAATCATCATGTTAATATACCACCAAAATCTAAGACCTTTATAAATTATAATTTTTTAAGTTTTTTTTCGATGAAAAAAAATATAACTCAAAATATTTTTTAAATTCTTAGGGTAATCATGTTAAATAATGACTCAGCGGTAAATGTCACTGTTAGTCTGTGATTTTTTTTATGGGTTTTTTTTTAAATGTTTTGATGAGGTATTGTGCAATGTGAAAAATGTTTTAATCTAAAGTGCTAATTAAATGACATTTAAATTCAATGAAAAATTAACATAAAAATATTGATTAGCATACTATTATATTTTAGAAAAAAAAAAAGAAACTTAAGTTTCTTATATTATAATTATAATTAAAATTATAAATTTAATTTTATAATCCAAATTAAAACAAAAAATTTTAAAGGAAATTTGAAAAAAAAAATTGATCAAACAATGGTATCAGATGAAATATTTGAAATAGGTATGTTATGTATTTCCATCAAAATAAGTAGTAAATATTTGAATATATTTAAATTAATACAAATTTCAAGTCAAAAAAATTGTTCAAAATATCTTTCTTATAATCTACTTTAAAATATCACATAAATAATTGAAAAATATTTCAAAAATAAAAATAAAACTGCAATGACTACCAACTAAAGTATATTATTTTTTTATTAATATATATAAACTAATTTGATACTTATAGTTGTATTTTGTAACTTTATAACTGTCCATCGTTTCAATTAGGTATAAAATAATTCATTTTTTTTCTCCTTTAATATCTTCATACAATTAACTTTCCAATTGAGTGACAAAATAATATGTATATAACTACGTAGTTTGCCACAAAAAAAATAAAAATAAAAAATATATATTCAAAAATTGATTTTCAAATACGCATACAGCTTTTTTAACAAACCAAAGGTTGTACAATTTCGCCTTAGAATAGACATATTCTAAAAATAAAAAAATTACGTTTCATTCTAGTTTCTCCTTCCTTCTTCTTCTACTTTACTAAGACATTTCTTTGTTGCGAATCTGGTTCTCCGTTCTTCTCTGTTGAAAGCCAGTCATTTCATGTCCACGGTTCGGGTACAGTCAGCTTGTCTTCTTATGATTTCTTCTACGTCTTCTTTGGTCTGCCTCTCCTTTGTGTCTAATTCTAACTACATAATAAAATTATATGTTAATTTTAATACATAATCTTAAATTTATATAACTTCTTAGAACGTAAAAAACTGAGCCCTTTATACTTTTATTGTTTGAATATATAATTAAATTCCAAGGTATAATAAAATTTTGCTAAAATTTATTATTTGCATAAAATTACACAATTTCAACACTATACACTTATGTATATATATAAACTTTAGTTAAGATTATTCAAATTATACCTAAACATAATGAAAATTATATTTTTGAACCAATTTCTTTAAAGAATTTATGGTTGAAATTTATAGAAAATGTACTGTAGACTAATTTTGATTGAACTTTTCAATTGATTTGTAATTAAATTGTTTTAATTATTTTATAACGTCAAATAATGAATTTTATGTAATGGTATTGAACCTTTGAATAGTCTTTGTGACGAATGTATTATGCACCGATAAATTTCTGTATAAATTGTTTATAGCATTACTATATTATTATTGAAAATTTAATATATAATTATAATTAAGTATACTATAAGTTAGAAAAGTTCAATAGCCATAATATTATTCAATTTGTTGATTTTTGGATTTTTTGATTTATATACATATTCTGTAGTCTTTATTTTTGTACCTATAATTTTTATACCCGTATATTTTGAAACAATTATTTTAATTAAAATTCTTAATCATCATGATTATATACCGATTTATTATTTTCAGTAAATTATAGTCAAACATAAGACATTAAAAATTCAAACTTGAAAACATAGTATTTTTTCACCGGTATTATTATTATTACGAATGTTTTCTAAGTATTTATAGTATTTTGAAGAGATTTTCACATTTTTTACAACTTGATATCGCACTATCATTATCATTCAACTAATTGTGAGAACCAGATAAATATAATAATTACTTATCATTATGTACTGCAATATAACCAACATATTTTTTGTGTATTCTATTAATAATTAGTTTGAAAAAAATGTCTAAGAGTATTTTAGTTTGTATTTAAATTTTAAAAATTGAATTGTTTTAATTTAAAAGTTTACGGATTTATACTTCTCTAGTAATCAAACTAGATTAAAAAATATTTCATATTTTAGGTTAAAACTAAATATTATAGAAACTAAATACTACACTGTAATAAATTAATTAAGTATACCGAAATATAATTAATTGTTTAATAAATTTACCAACTTCTTAAAAGTGTATGAAAGTAAAATCGTTAATGTTAAAAATATTAATTGTTTAAAACTAAAACAAAAAAGTAATTTATTATGATTAAAAAATAAATTTAATGCATGCTTAATAATTTTAATACTATGATTGTAATCAATAAATACATGTGCTTTAAAAAACTGAAGCTTTAAATAGTCAATTGTGGTAATTTGATATTAAATGAACATGATATGCTTTCAGCTGATCCTGAATCTATAAGCGTTGGCACGTTGGCTGAACCCGGCGATCCTTCAGCACGTAATTACATCGATCCTTCGTCAGATTTTTTTGACGAAAAACATAGCAATCCTAAATTTGGTATCATGAAAAAGTTAACATCTGGTGCGATTGTGGGTCCGGTAGACGAAGGAAATAAGATACGATTGGTATGTCGTGCTGGCCGTGCCAGACCAGTGCCTCAAGTAACATGGTGGCAACACGGCCGTGGTCCAATTTATGATGATGATTTTGGTAATAAAAAGAAAAATCTATTGACTGTATTTAATTACGATAAAATTATTTTTCGTCTAAATTTATGCCAATACATTTTTGTGTGTTGAAACATTACAGTTGATTATCAGTATCGCAAAGCAGATTCTGATATATCCGACGACTATTTTTCGAGTTCAGGACTATGGGTTGCCCAAAGCATTCTCACCGTTGTAGGGAAAAGGGGTGCCAACGGTAGATATGAATGCCGAGTGAAAACTGCAACTGATACATCACCAATTCTGACGTCTAGTATCGAAGTCACTGTCAATGGCAAGTACAATTTATATAGTCGATTGTTTATTGTATTGTAAAATGCTTCATAATAACTTATAATAACGAGTAAAAGCAATTTAACGCTCTTTATTTGGATATTGATGAATTACTCGTATTTGTTTAAACAACTTTCATTTCATTTTTAGTAAGTCCATACTCGATTGAAATGTCCACATCATCATCGGGATCAACAGTAACTACGGTTTCTAAAGTAGACGACTATCAAAAATCGCAAAATAGTGATCTTAATAGAAATCCTGACGAAGTTGTTTACGCAGAAACTACGGAAGGGCAACCGTTAGTAATTCGGTGTGCGGCTCGCGGGGCACGGCCTCAAGCCAACGTGACGTGGTATTATTATTATAAAGATCAAGAAAATGACGATGACGACTATGGTGGTGGTATTAGAAATGATTTAAATGTGCGTACACCACCCGTGCTACCGTCGAAATCATCAAAACACGGTGCACCAGTTATGTTAGGAAACAGTCAGCAAAACGGCGGTTCCACCGCTAGATCACCCAGCGATTATTTGATCTCGGAACAGCGTCGTATGGAAGGTGGAGCAGAAATTATAGGCCCTGTGGAAATAGCACAGCATACTGAATATCAAGTAAGGATTAAGTTATAATTCGTTCACTTTCAGTATCGTATTGCGTATAATATCTTTTATATTTTAAAAATATTATAACTTTGTATTGGATATACGTAGTATTGATCGGAGTTTTCGATAAAAATTTACTTGGCCGCAACTACTAAGTGTTTGTATTTATTCTTACAGGCTGATGGTACTCGAGATACACATAGTCAGTTATCAATGTCTCAACTCCATCGTCAACAAGACGGTTCTATTCTGCGATGTGACGCGTTCAATAATGTCGGTTCATCACCGTCTCAACCTCTTACTGTAAATATGACGATTCGGGTCAAATGTAAGTAAACTCAACAAAAATGTAAAAAAAAAAAAATAAGTGGTATCATAAATAATGTATAAACAATTAAATTTGCGTATTCAGATATGCCGACCGCCTGGGTAGTACCCATAACTGATGGAGAAAATTCTGGTGCTATTGTCGAAGACGAAATAGGTCAACAACGTAAAGGAGGAATTGACAATAAAAATAATGTCAACCCCAGTATTAATGATCCTTCTAAATCTACTAATGATGGATTCCACTATCAAACGAATTTGTATACCGTGGTAGTAAACGAAACAAAGGAATTGAGACTGCAATGTGCATATCATGCCAATCCAGATAAACTCCGTACTCCTGTTAAATGGTTAGTGTGTTTTTTTTAATCATATAGTCAACAAAATCGACTTATTCAGTTTTGAGTTATTGAAATTTCACTGTTAATATAAAAATATATTATGTGAATCGTAATTGGTATTTTTAATATTACTCGATTTTTCAAATGCATTTTATGAATTATTATTTTAGGTACCGCGATGGCATAGAATTACAATTAATCGACGAGGAAGAAACATCAATGTCAAATTATTATGCGGCTGTGACACCAGCTACCGGCGTTGGTACAATAGGAGGATCATCAAATAATGGAAATTCTAGATTTCGTATGAACACCCTAGGGAATTCGGCAAAATTCGCCAGAGTCAGAGCGTCACCTAATAGCAACGGTGGAGCTTACGGCGACGGTAATGGTGCAGATGCAACGGTGTTAATAGTGAGAAGGTTAACGCGTTTTGACTCGGGCCGATATGAATGCCGAGTAAGAAACTCAGTCGGAGCTACAAATTCAACAAATTTTGCCAACGTTCGTGTTCAATGTATGTATAAACTAGTAATAGTCTAAAATTAAATATTTTTTTTTGTCTAAAACACTATAAAAAAATAAAAATAAAACTATAAGGTAATAAGCGATTAAACATTTATGATATATTTTTGATTTATATCAATTATAGATACTCCAAAGGTCAAGTTGCACGTTATCTTAGACGATTCACTTGACGGAAATCAAACTTCTCCGACAGCGAGCAGTAGTGGTAATAATGTGGCTGGATCCAACCCAATCGTACTGGAATCGGAACACCGTAACGTTACTCTTCGGTGTGCCGTAAAGTTAGAATCGGACCAACAAAACATTGAAGACACTAACAGTGATCCATCTTTGAATTTAACATCTGTCCATTGGTATTGGAACGGCGTGCAAATGCAGTTGCCCAACTGTACGAAATCGCCAGATTCGAACGATTTCAGTGACGACGTATTTGAGGACGAAGATGAAGGAGACAGCGATTTCGACACTCTACCAGAAAACGAAAATAACGGCATGAATATCAACTATTATACGAGTGAATCACACGCGGACGGAGATTATGACTCGATAGCTGTTGATAATGACACCAGGAGGCGTAATAAAAAACAAAGAAAAGTTGTATGCACCGACAGAGAACTTATTTTAGTAAACGTAACGAAAAACATACATGGGAATTATTCATGCCGAGCCCGAAACGCCGCTGGTCTTCTAACTCCAATGTCGGATCAAACACCTCTTATCGTATACTGTAAGTTTTTTTTGTTTACTGGTTCAACCTTTTGAAATTAATTGAAAAACAATTATTACTTTTTTAATAAAGTATTTATGATTTAAGAATAAAAATTTCTATTTCTAACTTATATGCTACTTGAATTAAAATAATGAACAAGAAGATAATAATTTTTAACATTATAATAAATGTATCGAAGTATAAAGTATTTACAATTGAATTAGGAGAGTAAAAATTTAGATCTGTTCTAATAATAGTATTATGTTATTATTCATGAAAATAAATCAAAAAGTACTGACCGTTGTAGTTTTTATAGAACTAAATATTTCATTCACGATAAAACAATTATTTTCACAAATAATGACAATTATTTTATTTCTTAAAACATATTTATGATTGGTGAATTTGCGTACCTTGTAACATTTATTCATTATATTATTATATCATATCATATAGTGTCTTATTTGATCGAAAGTTGGATTTTGATAAAAGTAGTAGTGAGCACAACAGAAAAAAATACAATTATGTGTAGCATGCTCATGTGATGTTAAATTGCATACACTTTCGCCGTCATGCGGAATCTGAGTGTGACATCATAACATAATATGTTAAAGCAATATAATAATATAAATATAATTATTATATGAACGTGATATTTTATACATAAAAACATTTTGTAACAATTTCCTCTCTTACCTGTAATATAAAATAATATATAGTTATAATATTAATCATTTTTCATAAATAAACAATATAATAAAATATTTATAATTAGAAGATTTTCTATAACATATGCAGACACCACGAAAAATCAAATACTATTTATACACGTATTCATATTATATAATAATACATTGACGTCTGTTATTATTAAATAATTATTATATATTTTATCTGGATACGGTATTTTATCGTTAATACAACTTACACACACATACGTGTAAACTGTTTTCTTTGATAGAAAGTGATTAGAGTTTCAATTATTATGAAATCACTATCCATACCAATTTTTCCAGTAAGATAGTATATGTTCTAAAATCAACGATAGTATATTTAATACTTATTCATAAGTAAATTAAAATATAGTGGAAAATGATAATTCAAACAAAATATGTTTAAAGTTATGTGGTTTTCAATAAATATTTAATTTTTAATCCCATTTAAGAAAATCTAAAATTATTTGATCCAAAGTCTTTAACTATTCATTTTCTAATCTAAGATGTATACGTTTAACAATTGTAGTGCCATTTTATATCCGGAGCTATGCAATAAATGTACTTGTATTTATTTTTTGAGTAGGTAGCACAAGTTTTTACGTTTCTCATTAGTTTACAAATTTGATTTGTATTATTCAACGGTAATATTTCGTTCTCAGTTATTATTCCAGCATCAAGTAAACATGAAATGATGAAGAATTTTATCAAACGAGCATTTATATTTATTTTCATTAAATAATTAATTTCGTACTCTATGACTTAAAAAATTTATACAAAACTAAACTTCGTTGTAGTATATTTAGCATTTTTAAAATTAATATTTATTGTTTTTCTATCATAGATTCAAGCTTATAACAATTTAATAACATATACTATTTTAACAATAAATTAAATTTTTTTTTTTTTAATATATAGTTGCTCCTGGACCAGTAACGTTGGAATATAGTCCACGACGGGTCATAAAAGGAAGAAATGTCACTTTACGCTGCAATGCACAATATCTTGGTCGGCCGCAACATCCTACCCGTTACTCATGGTTTCGCGATGGACATCAAATCTATCATCAAAACCAAGGACTATTAAATCCTAGTATTAATTCTGGAACCGGAATTAATACTGGTACTAATGGAAATAATGGCGGAGGGAATTTCAATCCTGAATGGTTTGTGGATCACGTTTCATTAGAAACTCGTGCTAATTTCACATGTTCAGCTTACAATGAAGGCGGTACCACTTATTCTGAATCAGTATACATCGAGGTTTATGGTAAGACTAATTTAATTTGCAATCAACCTTGATTGCAAACAGACGAAAAAATAAATAAATAAAAAAATTATACATTTTACTTTTGATTATTTGCAGCTCCACCGAATTATATCACTGGTCCTCCGCAATACTTAGGTGTTGCTTATAACGCAACACATGTGAATGCATCTTGTACTGTAGAATGTTATCCTCTTTGTTCTGTAAATTGGTTTCGTCGAGGTATCCCAATTGATCCGATTCATAATCCGGAAGATAAAGAAAGGTATATAATATATATATTTATACACACACATAATATGTTATATCGTTTTATGAAAATGTTACGAAACTAAATTATTTGAAATTATTTATAAATGTGTCTGTTTATTATATTGAGTATAACATAAAAGTATATTTTTGAACTTGTGGAATAAGGTTTTTTTTTTTTTTAAAGATACTCCATTTTAACGGAAACTTTACCAGCAGAAAGATTGAAAAATGATTTTGAAGCAGTTCGTAGTACTTTAATATGGCGTATGGATAATTGGCCCGGTGGTCGAGGTTTAGATCCTATTACAGATTCGACGGAATATAGTTGCCGCAGTAGTGGCAATGACGTTGGCCCACCCGTATCCGAATCAATAATGAATTTTTCTGTTGAATGTAAGTCTAACTATTAATCGTCAATTCTGCGATAGTAAATTAATATTATAATTTTATTGTTTTTTTTTTACAGACCCGCCTGGAAACATGACGGTCTCTAAAACGGTTGTGCACGTCAGTGAAGGTAACATACCGGAAAAGGTATTTTGTCACGCAGAAGGTCGCCCTCAACCGACATTCGAATGGCGCTACACTGCGAGTACTAACAGCTGGATTGCTCCTGGAAATTCTTCTCAATCGTCTTCGCAGCAAAGACTTTTGCCCATAGGAATCAGTGGAAATGGTGGCGTTAGTGGCAGCATTGGAAGCAGCCCTATAGGCGGTCAAATAAACAACCAACAATTAGTATTGAACTCGGCTGTGAACAGGCAACATGCAGGTTTTTATGCTTGCATTGCACGCAACACTCATGGAAATGGCACTGTGTACACTTATCTGGATGTGATGTGTAAGTAATAAGAACATTAATATTAAAGTATCGCAACAACCCATGTGCATGTTAAATGTAAGTAAAATATGTAGAATATCGTACTAAACTATATGACTAATTAGTGATTATTACTTTTAAAAAAAAATGCTTTAAATAATTAAATATTCATGTTACAATTATACATATAAGATATCAAAGATAATTTTTTATTATAGTTTAGTGATAAGTAAATATACTATAGTAAATATACTTATCATTAAACATAGTTATTGATAAGAAAAATTATTTTTTGTAGACAAACCTAGTTGTCAACTTAGAATGTTGACTGTGGACCAACTGAAACAAGAAACAGCTAGTATAACTGATCAATTTTCGGAATCTACTGGGGAATTGGACGAGTTTTTATCTTCATCGGCTGGTGAAAAGAGAATACTAGTATGCACAGCAACTGCGAACCCGGGTCAAGTACAATACACGTGGACTATAAGAAACTCGGCTCGCTCAAACGATACGTCAGCCTCGACATCTGACTCTCCCGCTACGGAAAGGATCATAACCGTAGCGATTGGATCAACGGCTAATAGTGGACCAATGGAATCGGATGGAAATGGAGGTTTTAACCGAAGCATACTTATCCTGCAAGATAGACTAGAAGTGAGCAGCAGTGAAGATGATGATGGAAGAGGTAATGATAACGCACCCAACAACGGAGCAGCAGAAGGCGTCAGAACATATGTGTGTACCGTCAACAACACCGTAGGCTCGGACCAGTGTAGCATTCAAGTACAAGGTAAGAATAACTTTTGAAACTAACGATGAACAATATTCATTATTTAATTTCAATTATTATCAAGTGCAAATATATTTATAATACATTATAATATATAATTATAAACCTAACAATATATAATTATAAATGTAATAATACATAACATTAAAGTAATGAATCAAAATGGTGAAAAGTAGTTAAAGACAGTTATTAAAAAACGATCAACATTTTATTCATTTATTTTAGTTTAGTATAATTTAAAAAATATATAATAGACTAATTTATATATTGATTTAATATTCTAACATAAATAATCGTAATAAAAAAATCATATTTGCACTTAAAAATTATAATAATATACTAATACCACGTTATATTTTTATTATTAGCTCTCAGGGAAAGTGAGTGTCTCTTTTTATAGTCAGTAGAAAAATAAAAAAAATTTAAATTTTTTGAATTATTTTCAAAATATTTTCATTACGTTTTTTTTATAACTATTATTTTTACTTGTAATTTGAACAATTAAATAACTTATTGATTTATATCCACTTATGTAAATATTAGGTGACGCTCCGTGGTGGAAACAGTTATTGGCGACCGTAGGTTTGGGTGGATTGCCAGTGATGGTCGTCTTGGTGGGTCTGGTCGTGATTTTACTACTGATCGTCATCATCGTCATTATTATTTTAATGCTGTTCGTCTGTAAGAACCGTTACTTCAAACCAGGCAACGGTACAGGAGGACGACAAAAATGTAAGTTTTCAATATCAAACACATTATTATTATTATTACAAACGTAATTATATGTAACACAATAACAACGGAAGACTTAAATTATTGCATTCGAACACAATAGGTATACACAACTATATATTATATTATATCGATGTGGTAATGTCGTTATAGTGCGTATTGTTCTGTCTGTATTCGTTAACGTAGAATATTGTTCCGAATTTGTAGTAAGTACAGCTTTATTGTGTGATTCGTTTTTGTTTTCAATATATAGATGTTAAACAAAAATATCCTACACTGACGGCGTATAGGGTACCAATCGTTTGGCGCCGGCACCGAGGCCGTAGCTTGCTATTAAACATATCGAAAGTGCGACAAAAGTGAGTACTGCGGTTTTGGACATTGATGTTGACGTAATTATTTTTGGTACGCGCGCTAAGCACTCAAATGCACTCTTCTTTTTTTCTATCTTTCTCCTTTCTTGGAACTTATTTTGGTGGTGGTTACGTGCCTTCTATTTTCTTATCAAACGACTTGTTACTCACTTTTCTTATGTATTATATACGATTCATGTACCCACTGGAAGATAGGATGTATATTATACTCGCTACAATCAGCTGACTGCTTAAACGTTTCAAAAGATATTTGTTCATTATAACAATATTCTATTGTAGTCCTGAAGGCAGTGCTACGTCATCAATTTCCGGAGCCAATCCAGCAACCGTACTGTGTACTGATCAATCATCAAGTATACCCACCCCGAAACCACCACCCGGATACGGCGATGATTTCAATAGCAGTCTGGCTGAATCACTGTCTAATCAACAAAATACTTCTGTCTCCTCAGGCGTCATAGGTAAATGGCCACTCAAACCTGGCGTATTGGTGCATTCAAAACAACAACTTCTTAAGCTACAGTCGTCTAATAATTCTCAATCGGACAACAACATGGCCGAAAATGGTAGTAGCCCAATGGAAAAAATAGTTCCTAATGAAAACGATAAGTTCAAATCGAAAAAAATTAACAACACATGTAAAATAAAATCGGCAGCCGAATGTATAGTATTAAACAACGAAACACAATCTGCACGCACGGCACGTATACGTCGTATGATGATTGGATCTAATAATAACTTACAGAAGAAACCGTCACCTATGTCACCTCCTCCTGCGCCTCCTCTTCGAGCAAACAAAGATAACAGCACGTCAAATAATATCGATGAGAAATATCCTTCTGTAACAGGTAGACAAACAACTAAATGAGATATTACGATTACTTTTTGGTATGGATCTAAAATAAAACTTGATATATTATGTTCATGATGCTTGATTTATAAATACAAAAAAAGATTGTCTTTATGGTCGGTACATCTTGCTATATGAATTTGTTCAATTATCTGCCTCAATTTCCTAATGTTTCCAAGCAATTTTCTACTACAATAATATAAAGTATTGTACATTTTAAAAATGTAGTCAGGTAGAGTATATTATTATTTTGTTGTGTAGATACGACTTTTGAGTGTGAAAAAAAAAAAAACTAGAATAATAAATTATAAACTATACTGGTAGGTATTCCGTTCAACAACAACAAACACGCAAGTATAGTATGCGAGTTATAACATTAAGACTAACTTGCACGAAAGTCCTAGGTTAAGACATACTAATTATAAAAAATTTAGTACAGAAGACGGATATACAAATCAAAACAATAAATATTCACGTTTAATATTTTAACGTGGATCGCAGTAAATAGCAGTCTAACATAAATCGTCCGTTTTTCAGATTCACGAAGTGGAGGTGGACAACAGCAAGACAACGATTCGAACTTAGGAGCAACGGGTGATTCAAAAGCCGCGTTCTACGAAAATCTACCTTTCCATGGTATGCGACCACCGCCCAATCAGGTTAGTCAGTTTGATTTTTAATATAGAAATAGTTCTTTAGTTATTATTTTTAAATGCATGGATTTACGACTTGTTTTGCTTGGTTTTCATTTGTTTTTCTTTTTTTTTTTGTTTTGTTTCGTGTATGCGTTCTCCATTATGATTTGTCCTTTTCAATCACCGTCATAATAAAAAAAAAAAAATTAAAAAATATAAAAAAAAAAAAGTCACCTACGCATCGACAAGTGTATAGCAATGATAGTACCTGTAAACCACATCTTCCACTGCCACATTCCACGGTGCTGAATACGTCATCACCATTGTCGGCATCGTCGTCGTTGATCCATCGGTCCCCGAACGGCGGATACGTGTCATTATTACGCCAGGCCATTTCAACGTTGAATAACGCGGAAGGCGACAGTTCGACCGTTCGATTTAATTCGCTGCAGAGGCCGAACCGCGGACCGATATCCACGTCACAGCGCCGCGACCACCAATTCCGATCCATGCGGAGCATTAGCAGCAACAACAGCATCAAACGGATCGTCGATCGTTCGCGATCCGTCGTCGCGGATCAAGACAAGAATAAAAATGAGAAGTACATTCATAGCAGGTGGTCGAACGGCAAAGCGACAGCAGCGGAATGCGATAAAAACGAGCACAAACGTAACGACGACGACGACGACGACGACGACGAAAGCAAACGACGAGATGCGAACGGATCGTTGACGTCCACGAAAATGTTTCCTAAACCGGCGCCCAGGACAAGGGTGCCTTCGGCTTCAGCGGCACCACCGTCTTTAGCCAGCCACGGCACCTACGAGAACCTGCAGCAACTGTTAACCGGTGACGGTGTCAACAAGGTACGTAACGACGGACTGCACGCGTACTAAGATCACTTAGAGCGTGTGACGATCCCATATAAATATAATGACCCTCGTCCGGTTGTCCACCCCCTCGTCACGCATTATTTTCCGTCGTCTTAATTTAATTTTTATTTTTCGTAGAATTTTATTTTCGTTTTGTGTGTTTTGTTTTTTCAATGCTTTTACGATTTATCGATTAACATAAATTAAAAATACTAACAACGCGATTGGGTGTGTGTGTGTGTGTGTGTGTGTGTGGGTGTGATTAACAGCTAACTGGAGTCGGGATCGGAGCTCGGAGTTTGGACGAGTTTTACCGCATGCAAATACAACAACAACACCAACTGTTGTACCACCGGGTGACGGCCGACGACGCGGCGGCGGTGCTGACCAGCGGATACTCGTCAGTGGGCGGCGGTGGCGGTGGACTGCATCATCGCAATCATCAGCAACATCAACTGCAACAGCAGCAGCAGCAGCAGCAACAGCAGCAACCGCAGTCCATCGAAATGACTCAGTTCGAGATCACTCCCGGCAGGACGACCGTTGGGGGAATGGGAAGAGGGCCAGCAGCAGTAAGCGAATCGTATCAAAAGTCACAAAAGCCGCACGTGCCGACCATTGTTAGCCGTTACAACAGCAACAGCATCGCGCAGGCTCTGGACGACGACGACGGCGGCGGCGGCGGCGTCATGAGGTCGACGACCATGGGCAGACGCCGTCGCGGCGGTCAGCAAGTGGTCGACGGCAACGGCGCGCCGACCGCGGCCGACAACTACTACATCAGTAACAACGACAAGAACAGCAACGGCGTCGGCGGTCATCAGTACGGCACCAGGAGACGTGGCAATGCGACCACCACCGCCGGTGACGGTCCGTCCGCACCGACCAACAGCAACGGCTACGGTACCGCGTCAGGCGGCGGCGGCGGCACGGTGGGCTACTACGCGGGCGACGTGTACGCCAGTATGGAATCGCGTCAACACCAAGCGAAGCGCCAACAGCAGCAGCAGCAGCAACAACGGTCGTACGTCACTGCCGGGAGCGCCGCCGGCAACGTTCCCGACGAGCAGGCGCTGACGGCCAAACGGTCATGGCGTCGGCAACACAACCGCCGGCGCCGGGCCGGTGCGATCGCGACGGACCCCGTCGAGTGCGACATGGAACCGGAACCGGTGTCCGACTACGCGGTCGACGCCGTCGGTCCGGCCGCGGACGATCCGGTGCCGGACCGGTACCGGAGTGTCGGGCCGGGCTCGGTCAACGGCACCGCGGGCACCGACACCGCCGCCGTGGTCGCGGACCACCACCACCGGGCGCGGCAGAAAAACGACCTGGCGCGCGTACCGTCCGCAGCGGTCGCGTCGGCCGCCGAACATCAACAAATCGGCAGCGGCGACGGCGGCGGAGGAGGAGGAGGAGGAGGAGGAGGAGGCGGTAGCAACAACGGTAACGGCGGCGCCAACAAGAACCTGGTCAAGTTCCACGACGTGGGCCGCGAAATAGACGTTTAGACACCACCCCGCCCCGTACCCTTAACACTTTCCCTCGGTCTCGCGTCACGGCAGTAGTGGCCGTCCCCAACGTGCCGGACGAACGCGGCACACGAATCCTCCGCACCACCGCCCACCGTCGACTCCGTAACGATTCGTCCCCACGCGCACGCCGGCGCCACTAACCGGTCCCGCGAAAACCCTATACGAACGTCTGTCATTTCCGTGTAATAACGTGTGCTGTGTATCGATTATTTTTAGCCATACAAACCGCCGGCGGCTAGCGGTTACGCGGAAGGCGGCGGCGACATGGAATACGCGGACGTGGACTACCGCACGATGTACTACGGCCCGATCAACTACAAACAGTCGTCTTGAACCCGATCCTCTCCCCGCGCGCCATCTTCGTCGGTAAACGAGAACCAAACGCTTAAGGTACACTGCCCGCACGACGGGCAACACTTTTACACGCGTGCGTCCTTCTCGCGAACTGCTGGTTTTTGTTTTTTTTTTTTTTTCTGTTTCTATGTTAACCCCCCCCCCCTTTTTTTTTTTAAAAAAACAACTGTACGATACCTCGCTCCGCGTCGTACGATAGCTCCGGATTTTCCGCGTTGTTAGTACTGCGTTCGAGCGATGGCACATACTTTCTTATATCGGTACGCCGCACAGCCCGGTAACCTCTATCCGGAACAGTGATAAATCGTACACTTTTTCTCTCGCACACCCGCGCGGATCGTGTACAAATATTAACTAACAACCGAATAACACAACACGCTCGCGTTGTATATTGTGTTACGTGATGCGAACGCGTGTGCCGTGTGTTTGTTTAACGATGTCTCGTCAAGAACTGTTTTAAAAACACATTTCGAGTAATACCGATCGACGTTTAACGCCCCGAGAGGCTGTACGGTTAGTTTTCAAAACATATAATACTAGTTTTTGTGAAATTCGACTAAATCACCTCCAGGAATCTTAGGGTGGACATCGTATATCCTTATTACCAGTTATTCCACTATCGTTTAATACAAATTTTGTTCTACGGGTTGAGACCTTTATTTCAAAAAAAAAAAAAAATCACATTAAATTCAAACACGCGAATCTGCAATAGATATTATTTTACTGGGTGTTTTCGTATTTGTATACAAATTATTAAAATTATTAAAAACGTGTATCGATCATCGTTTATATCATATTATAATCTATAATATTGTCGATGAATTTCGTATCCGTGTAAACTATTTCCGCATTACCTATAATTCATTTAATAATCTGTCAATTTTCTGTACAGTCATGGTTTTCCTTTAATTTCAATTTAGAAAAGAATAATAATAATAATAAAAAGGGTGCCATTTATCATTGTTACTTTTTTTTTTTTTTTTTTTTGTTAGTCATTGCGACCACTGTGATCAATAATCGTAATCGACGATCGTGTTTATCTATCGTTACGTTCGATTATTGTCGGTTTACATTATATCGCATTATAGTAGTCGTCGTCATTTCTGTATAACTCTGCCAAATAGCCGATACCACACCAACGCATCCAATTTAAGTGTTTAATGGTATTGTAATATTGTGTTTGTAATACCAATAAGATTTATTATTATGAATTATAGCGTTTTAGTAGCGAATTATCGTAGTGATAGTAGTCGTACATAGTTAAATAGAAATAATAATATTAAATAGAAGTATGTTTTTTTGGACGGTTTTCGAATAATATAGTAAGATAAGTCGATTGTAATACTGTTATTATACACACGAGTATTGATAAAATACATCACAATGTTTATACACATCACACACTATAAGACCGTCTGTCGTTCTAATAAATATTATATAAAAATATATTTAACCAATTTATGATTATCTTTATGTATTTACAAGTGAATGTATTATTTTACTGCATATGTACGCAAACATGCAATTTGTAAACCTTATTATGTGTTAAATAGTAGAGAATACTAGTTACCACCACCATGGCTACGGTATCACGTAAAGATATTATTAATTTTGTTGACAATCAATTAAAACTTATGTTAACTTATTTTTATCAAAGTATTTAACAATATAAATATAATACATGTATATATGCTTACATATATATACATATATTTATTTATCACCCTAGAACTCAAGATTATAATATCGTATTGTTATACATATGAACGGTGCCCTGTGTTTCTTCAGCGTTGGTTACGGTTGCCATCAATCCCTTCTTATACACTTTTTACGTTTCGTCCGACCAAATGTAGGTCCCTATTGTCATTATTACATATATTTATTTTATTATATTAACTTCTTTACTATACATATATATGTATGTATACGCATATGTATATATTATCGTAATCGATACATTTTCCCTTCGGACTAACAAAATAACTTAGACTTATTTCGTTAAATATTGTTGTATTTTTATTTGTTTTTATTATTTATGTATCTTTAAGTATGAAATTACACCTCTACCTAATTATTATAATTGTAATTATTATTATTATTATTATTATTATTATTATTATTATTATTATTTTACTATTGTATTATTTTGCATTTTTACATTAACACTCGGCATTTACGATTAATGTTTTTATATTATTGTATTCGTATTGCGGTAAATGAAGGGTGGTGGAAACTCCGCCGTATTCTAGTCATTATTTAATAAATATATATTATTATATCCTGTTTATCCCCCGACGGCATTGAAGTTTACGATAAAACGACTTAAAGTGTTTTAAATAAATATAATAATTGTAATAATTTTAAGTAGTATATCTATATACATTTAAAACGATTTTTTTAGTTTAGAATTGTTATCATAAAAACATTTTTTATAATATGTGTAATGTATATAATAACATTATTGGTTATGATGATGATAATTGTTGTTTGGAAGATAATAAAGAAGTGTGAGAGACAGATAATACAATTTTCATAATATAACTCTCTTTACCATATATTTATGAAAAATCCTCACTAAGTATTGAAACATATATTGAGTATACAAATATTGTGTACAATGTTACATAACTGTAGTTGGTATGTGCTATCCTTTAAAACAAAAACAAAAATTGAATCAAAAGTTTTAGAGTCTGAAAATTTAAAAGTAATGACAAACCTTCGTTTCTAACGAAACTCAAGTTTCTATAAACGCAAGTATGTAAATTACATTTTTATATAATACTGCACGTAAAAGATACTTACAAAAAATAATTCACTTGGTCCAAGTTATTGTAACGATTATTGTATATCAATATCTTACATTATTTCTTAAAAATAACCCGGCTAATGTGTTGAGTGTGTGGAAAAGGAATGAGGTCATGCTGAATTTTGGCGTGGATATGTAAGGACAACGAGTAGTAGTGGACAATCAGTAGAGAAGGAAGTCAGCTAGCTTTACCGTACAAAGAGGGACACTAGAAGATCATCAACATCAAGTCCACTACGGTCCTCATTTATTCCTAGCATCAACATCTACCACGTAAAATACAATATTAATAATATATTTTAATTAGTAACACATTCACCTTGTACTTTTATATGAGGTAACACTATTCCATAGATATTAAGTATCACACACCGAGGTCGAGTCCCTGAGACCTCGTAAAAATAAACATACCTTTAAAGGAGTTCAATCCGATTAGTAAGTAGATTCGAAAGGATTTAAAGAGGGAGATGTTACAATATTTTAGGTATAGGTATATCATTCATAATAACAGAGTATAAATTAATCTTGCGTTAAAAAGTTTAGTTTAAAAATCTTAAATTATATATTCTAATATTATATATTTCTAATCAACTATCATAGCTTGAATAAAAATTAGAATATTATAACATTTTTTTTGTTTTTTTTTTTTTTGATTTTAATATTTTAACACAAAACAATATCAAATTCAATTTTTATTTTCATGTACGAGTTTCAAAAGCAAAAAATGCGAAACTTCTGAGTTGGGTGAGATACAATGATGGTTGAATGAGTGCTTGTTGTATAGGTATTTTTAACTTGAAATAAATGTCTCGGTACTATAGGCGGATATCAGGGGGACTTGGGGGGGGGGGGTAGACCCCCAAATATTTTAATAGTCCCCCCCAAAATCGAAACTGTTAGAAATTTTATTCGTTGTTTTTATAATTCATTTATAATTGTCTGTTCATTTTTTTTGAAAATCGTAAAATTAGAAATAATACAAAACTATTTACAATAGCATTAACAATACCAATTAAATAGTTTGGCTACTTGCAAAAGAAGTTTCAGTGCAATGAAAAAAATAAAAACTTGATTAAGGACATTATTGGTTCAAGATAGGTTCAGCAATCTTTCAATATTATATATTGAAAATGATATATCGAAAAATATAAAAAGCGATGATATTTTGAGTATCTTTGCTAATACAAATAGTTATTTGTCATTAAAATAAAATATTAATTATTTTTAAATATACGTTATTTAGTGTTCTTTTTAATACAATTTAAACATATCTATATTTTTAATGGTAATAAATTTTACTTTTGTATGAGAAGGGGTGTGGGGGCGAAGCCACTGCGGGTTATTTTACATTGAATTATTATAGCCCCCCCTAAAAATTTAACCAAATGTCCACCTATGCTCGGTACTCTCGAAAAAACGATTTTGAGTGAAAGAGGTGTATCAGTTTGTAATTCCTTTTTCTGTCTTAATTTTAACCAAATATCAAAAGTTAAAATTTAAATTCAATAAAATTACAATTTTCATGTTTTGGACCCCTCCCGAAAAAGTTTCTAGATACGGCCTTGCCCCAAAGTACCAACTAGATGAATTCTCATTGACTGATAAGCGTTCGAAATGCGGCTAGTATTTAATATATATGTTACGGCTAGGTACTAAAATTCTTTGAAATGATCTAACGCCCATACGCGTATTCACAAGTCATCGAACACAAAGAAAGTACTTTTGCTCCGGCTGTAGGGCAGAATTTTGATACAAATAGTACCAAAAGAGAAATAAAAATTTACCTTATTTCGATCGACATATTAATTTTAAAAAGATGATTGTATTCGTTGGTCTATTTTCTAGGTTTGCTCGGAAATAGATTTACGACTTTATTTTTAGTTAATAAAATATGATACATAGTAAGTTTATATTTTTTTCAAAATAAACTTATACTTGACTTAATTTTAATTAGGAATAAAATGAATAATATAAGAATTAACTTCCGAGCAAACTTAGAAAAGAGAAATACAAATCAAATTTAGTTTTCAAAATTTAAATCAAGTTACTGGAAGTATGATAAATTTTCTTTCGCTTATTGAGCTAATTGTCGAGTGTATACTACGACGAAGTAATATTCAAATACAATGATAAAATAATATCTATGTAATGTATCTATTACTTCGTATGAAAC